AGCCTCCAACTCCTGGGCTCAAGTGATCCTCCCATCTCAGCCTCTTGAGTAGCTGGGACTATAGGCATGTGATACCACACCCAGCTAATTTTCTTTTTTTTTTTTTTTGAGACAGAGTCTCACTCTGTCGCCCAGGCTGGAGTGCAGTGGTGCAATCTCGGCTCACTGCAAGCTCTGCCTCCCGGGTTCTTGCCATTCTCCTGCCTCAGCCTCCCGAGTAGCTGGGACTATAGTCGCCCGCCACCACGCCCGACTTTTTTGTATTTTTAGTAGAGACAGGGTTTCACCGTGTTAGCCAGGATGGTCTCGATCTCCTGACCTGTGATCCGCCCACCTTGGCCTCCCAAAATGCTGGGATTACAGGCGTGAGCCACCTCGCCTGGCCACTAATTTTCTTTTTTTAAGAGGTGGGGTCTCGCTGTATTTCCCAGGCTGGTCTTGAATTCCTGGCCTCAAGTTATCCTCCCGCCTTGGCCTCCCAAAGTGTTACGGTTACAGGCATTACCTACCATGCCTGGACAATAAGTGTTTACTGATTTAAGTTACCGAGTTTTTGAGTAATTTGTTAACAGCATTAGGTAAATAACATATCCACAAATTAATTTGTCCTGTGAGCAGAGCACTTTAGATTTGAATATGATATCTGTACCTCTTTGAATGTTCATGGATAGTTCTTTGGTTCTGTGCTGTTTCTTGGCTACAGTTCAGATAACTGAGTTTATACGATGTGATCTCTGGATCCGTAAACTGTTAATTGTGTCATCTCAGAGCCCCACGTATGACAGTCATGGCAGTGTGCACATTTTGGACACTGTTCTGTGTTGGTAAAGGTCCAGTTTCTGCCAGGTGTGGTGGCTCACACCTGTAATCCCAGCACTTTGGGAGGCTGAGGTAGGTGGATCACTTGAGGTCTGGAGTTTGAGACCAGCCGGGCCAACATGATGAAACCTTGTCTCTACTAAAAATACAAAAATCAGTGAGGCGTGGTAGCACGCACCTGCAATCCCAGCTACTCCAGAGGCTGAGGCAGGAGAATTGCTTGAACCCAAGAGACAGATATTGCAGTAAGCTGAGATCACACCACTGCACTCCAGCCTGGTGAGAGAGTCAGACTCCCCCTCACAAAAAAAAAAAAAAGGTTCAGTTTCTCTTATTTTGCTATGCACCCAGGACTTAGTCATCTCACTCATGAGTAATCAGCTTCTGTGAAAAGCAGCTGATGTTGAAACATACACATTCACCCACAAAACCATGGTGTTATTTTACTGTGAAGGGAGTACTATGTTCTTAAGACTCTTAATCCCTCCATAAATGGTTAGTCGTCTGTAAAATGGTGATAACTCTTTCCACTTCATGGGGTTTTGTAAGAATTACACAACTAACACTATACTTATAAAGTTCCTAGTGCCTCAGACACAGTGCACTTAGTAACTACTAATATTATTATCCCCTAGGATTATTATTACTCCTAGTATTGAAGACATGTTACTTTAATCACCTGAGTACCTTAATTTCTTTCTCTCCCTTGCTCCGTATTTTTATTTTATTTATTTTTTTGAGACACAGTCTTGCTCTGTCACCCATGCCGGAATGCAGTGGCACGATCTTGGCTCACTGCAACCTCCGCCCAGATTCAAGTGATTCTCCTGCCTCAGCCTCCCGAGTGGCTGCAACTATAGGTGCGGGCCACCACACCCAACTAATTTTTGTATTTTTAGTAGAGACAGGGTTTTGCCATTTTGGCCACGCTGGTGTCAAAGTCCTGGCCTCAGGTGATCTGCCCGCCTCGGCCTCCCAAAGTGCTGGGATTACAGGTGTGAGCCACAGCGCCTGGCCAGAGACCAGGTCTCTTAAAACAAACAAACAAACAAAACCCTAAATGTCATCTGTGGATTCTACCCAGGAAATAACCCACATTAAAATGATGGCTTGTGAGGGTCGGCAGGAGTATAGTGTATTTCATCCAAAAATATAACAAATGTGTAATCCAATTATAATAGCAATTATGGCAGAAGCTGTTGGTGACTGACAAGGAATTATAAAAGAGTCAAATTTACACAGGCTTTTCAAAAGATCATAATCCTGCTATTGAAGGTGGGAGTCTTCTAGACACTAAAAAGGTGGACAGAAATCTCCATGTGGAGGCCCAGATTAAACATCTCCCATCAAAGTGGAACTCGTCAAATGTCCTAAGACACCTAAGGCCATCCCCAGGCGCCCTGACAATAAAAGGTAACCAGAACACGAGAGAAATGACTCTGGGAGTACCTTTCACATTGAAGCTGTGCAGTAGGAAATTATAATTTGGCATCTGGCTCATCCATTCATTTCTCATTGGTGTGGTTCATGTGTGCTTGCAAAGGTCAACCTTCTGCCCTTCGAATGTCCTCTCTTTCTCTCCCACAGGGAACACCCACATGTGGATCCTTGTTTAAAGGAGAAAGTCCTAGTCCTGAGCTTTTAGCGGGGTGGATGTCATCAGGCCTGGGTTTGCATCCTGTTTTTTTCACCATGGCAAGTCATATGCGGCCTTAAGCATTCCTGCTCTTGGTCCAAGCTTCCTGCGTGGGAATATTGCGGTCCTCCTTTCAGGCAGCTGTGAATGACAAAACGCTCGCTGGCTGCCGTCATACCCATTGTCCCGCGAGAGTGCCCTAGCTGGGCCCCACTGCACTCCAGGCGGTGCCTGCTCAGTTGCCCCTCCCACAAGCAGGCGCCGGTGCAGGTGCCGACCAAACGCCCAGGTTCACCCAGCGCCGGACGCTGGCCTTCAAGCCCCGCAAGGCCGCCGAGGGTGCTGGGGTCCCTGCAGGGCAGGGCCACCTGCCGAGGAGCCTCGGCCGCGCCAGAATCGTATTCGGGTAACCGCGCG